AGGAAAGAACTCAGATGAATGTTTTGTGATTTTGGGCTTTTGTTTTCCCATGCTGTGCCTTTAATATATATAGAACATTGATAATCATCAATTACTATATTGATAATCCATGATCACATAGCTGCAGTCATGCTGCCCGGTGTCTGTATTTTCCCAGGAAGCTTAGTTATAAGCTGTAACAGTAGTTGCAAAGAAACAAATTTTAAAAAATGTCTGTAATTTGCAGGGGAAGGGAAGCAGTAAATACAGTTGAAAGGGGAGGCATTCTGTTGAGGCTTTGATTCACAATTAAATAGAAAAACTAATTAAATGGTTTATTGTGACCAGACTGTGTGAGATGACTCTATTTATAATATGAAAATTGTAGTGTTTAATTTCAGTTTGGGGCATGTTTACTTAATGGCACACTTAAACCAGCTGTGACAAAGATAAAATCGCTGTCGTACCTGACCTTAGGATCTCTTTTGTTTCTAACATAGATTTTAGAAATAATCAGGGTTATTCTGAAGCTGTATGAGCAGTGGAAGAACTTTGATGAGAGGAAAGAGATGGCTACTATTCTTAGTAAAATGCCTAAACCAAAACCACCTCCAAACAGGTACGGTACTTCCTTAATACATCTTTTATGTGAAAAATCTAGACTACTATCTTAAGAATGTGTAAATCTTTCATTCAAGGTATAGTGTATGTTTTTACAGTGCAGACGTTTCTGATACAAAACCAGCCTGATTGTTCAGGAGTTAGTGAGGAAGTATAACATTAATTGTCTTATGGAAAGTGTTGATGTGATTAGAATGTGATCAATACAGCTCAGTAAATGTAAGRAACCCCAGTGTGAGGCTCCGTGGCTAAGCCAGATTCAATGGAACTGGGCCTGCTTGWTGTCGTATTTAATTACTGTGATTAAATATCACTGTTGGGAATCTGCACATCCAAATTCCTGTGCACATGCTTACGTAATACGAACTTTGCAATGTTGACTTCAGAAATAGATTCAGCAGGCARCTTCATGAGCATATATTGAAATTATTACATAAATATGAAGTTATTTATGCATGCTAAGAATAATCTTTGCATTTTTTTATGAAACTGAACAGAATATCTTGACCTATTTGTGTGTATGTTAAAGTATTTTTGTAAAGGTTTTTATTACTTTGAGAATACTGTATTTTTAAATTAAAGAATAAAGTAAAAAATGTAATATGACGATTCTTATTGAAGAGACATGTTTTTGTTTTCTTCAACAGTGAAGGAGAACAGGGTCCAAATGGTAGCCAGAACTCTAGTTATAGCCAATCTTAAGGCATTCCAAAGAATTTCTTTATGGACCACTTTGATTCAAGACATCTTGGGATCTTTCCTGTGTTCGTGAAATGGACAGAAGGTTTTAGTAACATCTTTGACAAAGAACTCGAAGAATAAATAGCTTGTTTGTGTCAAGCATTTTGAAAGCTTTTTCTCTAAAACTACATCATTTTCTCTGACGCTGGAGCAAACGTGCTAAGGTTTTTCAATGTAAGGAATCAAACCTTAAATCAAGCTGCAAAAGATTAACATTTTTTCACTCAAAACAAACTGTTCATTATTGGTTTTATTTGCATTGAAGTGAACTATTTTTAGTGACAGTAACCCAAGGCCTAAGCATAACTGTATTAATACTTGTGTTGTCTTCATTTTGTTTGTGACTGAAGGAAGATAGTGCACTGTATGTTCAATCTATCCATTATCTTCAGTTTTGTTGATTTAAAAAAAAAAAAATATGGGTTCTGCAACAAGTAACACACAGTCCTTCAGCAACAAATGCCTTGAAGAGCCTGTCAAGAATATTGTTACAGTTTTAATGAAAGCTGCAGAAAAGAAAGTCAGTTTCTATTTTTACATTTTAAAAAGTTGTTTTCCTCAGTTAGATCTACTTGGTTGTTTTTYACATGATACATAGTAGCCCAGCTTACCAGAGAAGTGCAATATGTATAGTGATTCTGCAGTTTTCTGAAACATTTCAAGTGTTAGGAATTGAGAAAACCCAACATAGTTTGATTTTTTTTTTTTCAAATAAATGTACTGTATGGTACAATCGGAATATTTCACAATCAAGTACAAATCTGGATATTATTGCTATTTTTTATGGTGGATTTTTGTAGAAAAAATATACACTCTTAGTCTRCCTTCACTGTTAGTGTGAATTTGTGTGGTTCATTAGCGAGTTTATTTAAGGGGATCAAGTGTTTGGTGAGCTTCAAACTGGCTAATTTTAATTGGGATGTTAGGAGCAACGCTAGAATAGCTGAAATGGAATTCCTTGGTTAACTTTCTGCTGGAGATGAGATTCCTTCAAGCAGAAGACCATATCTTGTGTCCCCTACTCAGGCAGATATCCCTCTGAAGACAGGAATTGGCCTAAATTGATTTCTTGATATTTTAGATAGCTGTTTCTAATTAAGTTCTGTACGACTTTATTTTGAATGATAATGCCAACTTGCCCAAGTATAAAGGCTGAATGATAAAGTGTAGTAACACTGTTCTCTTTTTTTTGTTTGCTTTGCTGAAACAACACATTTCACTGGTCTGACTTACAGGAGGGAGATTCTTGAAAATATACTTTGTGATATGTCTTGGTTCAAAAAACTGGCCCCTTAAAAAAAAAACCCACCTGTTTTTGCAAATACCTGTCTTTGTAATTGGCTGGTCTTTCAGTGAAGTATAACTGAAGTGTTTTCGTATGTAGCCTGTTAGGCTACCAGCATTTATTTCTGTTCAGGTTATTTTCACGAGCCATTAGATGAACCAGCCCCAAACATTTTGGTGAAGTGGGAAATACATTTTGGTCTTTGCTACTTGGTTGCCATTTGATCCATACCTTTTATAGACATTTGACTGATGAAGTGGAATTTGACTGTTTTGCTTTTATTTCTTGAAGTCTAAAATGTGCTATTTGTAATGTGGACTTGGGGAATAGAAATAAATCAAAGCAACTTGACCTCTGTTGTGTGGAGTTTTTAAACAGGAACTATTCTTTAGGTAAGTGTCAGTCTTCTCACATATACCACAGTACCTGCCAAGAAAGTTCATGTTTTGGAGCTGGGGAATTAATGAAGAATTCTGGCTAGAGTGACTAAATTTTTTCTTGCTGCTCAAGAACCTTTGCAGACTTTACTTCACACCTAAATCACAAGGGGACCTAAACCTCAGAGCTAAAATGCTGGGCACTTTTTGGTTATACCTAGAAGTTTCTTAAGGCATTTCCCTGCTGGGAAGATGACGCTAATTTTACCAGCTCTAATTCCAGTAAAAAGAGTGAAAGGCAATGAAGTGCAGTCAAAAGAGCTGGATTCAGTGATGACAGTTTAAAAAAAAATATAATTTTGAACAGGAAACAGAACATAATTTGAATTCAACATTCTTACTATCAAATAGAAAAAAAAAATCACCTTTCTTGTGCTTCATTTCAAAGGAGAGTGCATTAAAATGTRGTATCTCAATAAAAGAGAGGTAGCTGAAAGTCTTCACAGATTATATGACAACAGGTGACTGTGAAGTGTCAAAGCAAACATGAGCCTTCTACGCCAAAAAGACTTAAAGGAAAATCCCAAAGGAAACAAACTGGATCAGACAAGTTATTTAACTTGAACCCCATAATTTGAAAAGCAAATTAGTAAGGATCATCTAATTTGACAAGCTACAAATAGTTTGAGAAACATCTTGGCTAAAACCACCATGATTAATAAAAAAGGAAAATTAAAAAGAGGTGTAATTTTCCAATTATAATCAAAACAACCCACCACTCTTAAAAAAAAAAGAGTGGGGGGTTCTAGAGAAGTCATAGGTGGTGTGAAGACTGATGAGGTGATGATTGCTCACCTCTGACAGAAGCCAGAGCAGCTGATGAATACATGGCAAGTTGGGAAGCAACAAAAGGAAAGACTTCTCACCACTGCTGTGTCTGCTGAGAGTTTCTGTTGAAAATTTATGAATACCCAAATATACTAAGACATGCAAAGCCTGAAGGAAGCACTCTTGGTTSTAAATTAGAGTAATCTGGCCTCTTTTATCATCTTCCTCAGATGTTTGCTATGAGTTGCTGCCAAACAGAAAACAATGGGCTAGATAGATCTTGGTGTGACACAGTATAACTTGTTTATTTATTGTGGTTATGTAGTTTTAGGTGCTCCCAACAAACTTTAATTTTGTTGTTTATTTGTTACTTTTGCTTCTCAGTTCTCTAAACTTGAGAGGGTGTGTTTTTTAGGTCTTCTAACCATCCAGATTGCACTGCCAGAATGGAAGAGCTGTAGGATAAGCACAAATTGCTTGTGATACYAGAAATTTCATTCCTTTTCCCAGACATCCTACACAGTCCTGAACTTCTGTGCTAGGACTTTAGCTTTCTAGAGGTCAAAGCAATTCACCTTTGCAAGTTTCCCTGGTCTGCTACAGCATTAAATAAATTTWWWAAAAAAACCCCAAACTTAAAGTTATGACTATGCAAATATTTAGGTGGRGATGGGTTGGTACCTTTTTTTAAGTGAACATATGAAAATTACTGTACATAAAAGAAGGAAGGGAGTTCAGTAACTTCCTTGGACACCTCCAGTTTTCCAGCCTAAAGCGATTACATCTGTGTAATATATATAGGTACATTCTCACTTGATACGGAGTTGCTGAGCGAACAGAAGTTGCTGACTGAATGTTGTAGCATTCTGGGCTCAGAATCAGATCCGCATATAAAAGTGGATATACTTTTAAAATAAGGAATCATACAGCATTTTCAACAGTGAGTATTCTAGCATCAGGATAGTTTCCTTTTGTATTTTCTGACCAGTAATGATGTTTGGGCCTTACAATTACCCAAAAATTTGTACTCTACTTGTACTCTTTGATGRCATAGCAATTATTAAAAAACTTCATCTACACGTGAAGTATAATAAATCTGTGCTTAGGGCAGTCACCCCAATCCCATTAGAATATCTGCAGTTTGACTATTCCAAACAAACTGCCCAACACAGGTATTTGAGAAATAATAATTTTATTTGTCCTATCATCATTAGTTCAAACAGTCATAAACTACATCATACAAAAAAGTAAACATAATCAGCACTTAGGTTCTCTTCACATGCATTCACCAAAACCATAACCCAATGTAAAGGTTGAAAGGTTGAGCAAATTTAATTTGTCTCTGTTTGTGTTGTAGTCTTTAGGCATAATTTAAACCAAGCAGTTTGAAGGTGAATGTCCATTTACACAAAAAGCCAGTAGTGAGCTTTAYTATGGAAGTGGAATGCATCTGGTTTGCTAAAACCTACAAACCATCCTGCAGCCTTGATAGGGTAAGGGTTGGGGCAGTCATCTTCATTTCTTCTCTGGAGGTTCATGTCTTACCCAGTCATCAAAGCCACCAGCATACTGCTGCACTCTGAAAAGATGCAAAATTATCTTTCTCAAGGAGAGTCCTTCTTAATAGTGTCTCTTAACAGGATACAGCAAAAAAAAAAACCAAAAAAAACAAAACCAAAAGTAAAAAAAAACATGCAAAAACTAAAACACCACAAACAAGAAAACCCTACAAAAAACAGATTAAAAAAAGAGAAAACACAGAAATTCTCTGCAACCATATACACTTGTACCTGGCTTCAATGAGCCAGATGGACACTCATTGTATTCTAACACTGTCTGCTTACTGCCTGCTTCCATGCAGTGTGCTCTGTAACTCTATTCTTCCAAATGACAGTGCTGGCATTCAAACATCAAGCAAGAAACAGCAAGAAATGGATCAATAAAACAGTTGCCACTTCTTTTTTTTTAAAAAATGAGAACAGACTCACGGCAGTGGGAGATTTACATGTTATTATGTCTAATACTTCAGATGTCACCAAATAAACCCAGCACACTGATCTTCACTTCCTTGCAAACCTACATGCTCTATAGGTCTGACATAAACTTGCACAAAACTAAACTCTGGAAAATGAAAATCCATCATTCAAAACAATACTGAACTCCTATTAGGCAGCATGAGAAAGGTAGTAAGAGAGGATGTTTTGCACTTTGAAACAAGAACATGGTTCCATGTTTCTGACTAGAGTTAATAGGAATATTCCAGTTCATGAATTGCAGTTCACTAAAAACATAAGCRAACAACCAATGACTCAAATTTTATCTGAAGTTCTTCAAGACAGGGAGGCACTTTCCAAAGACAGATGTAACAACTCTGCAAACCAAAGGCTTAATTTAATTTCACTCTATCATAATCTCATTGTTTTGTTAGCTATTGCCTTCAGTGCTTTACTCCTGGCAAATAAACCAAAGCTTTACAAGAAGTGAAGGTGTCCTTTGTCAATAGTGAATTGAACAGGTAGAACTGCAATTTGACAAAGGGTGTGGTTTCTTTGAACTATTTAAGGTTGTACTACTACCAAAGCAAGCAGTGCTCCACCTTTCCAACCTTCCTGCATCTCAGGACTACTGCTTATGAAGCTGTATAAAGAAGTAACATCTCTGCAAGGGAGCCCCAAGGGGCAGAAGGACCCTTCAGTGGCAGTGTGGCCCTGCAGCAGTTTGTGTCACCAAGAGCTTATGTTCAGAGCTGCTGAGGGTACACCTCACTTTGCTGGAACACTCAAKGGCATCTTTCAAGGTTTAGTGGCGACAAGAGGAGGTGTCTAACTCAAATACTGATYCTTTTGTTCACATTCCACATGTCAGTTTTTACCCTTGCCCACAATAAGGTGAGTACGTGTTCTGCTTCATGAGGGGAAGCAGCATTAATCCCATCCTTACACACAAAATCCTACCTGCTGAAACCCAAGGACATGGCAAAACCAAGTGCTTGTTTACTTCTTGTTCCCGCCATACAGGAGAATACCACAGGGTCTGACTTGGATGGCATCTTTTGATTATACTGCTCCTTAAACTCTGTTGGGTCCATTTGTAGAGCTTCCATTAATTCACCCACTGGGAAATACAGAAATCAAGGTATTTTTTATTGCCCATCCACAGACAGGTTTACATTGCAAGACTTCTCATTCCTCTGGAGGAAAAGGGTCAGCCTCCTTACATGCTTTTTAGCACCGTTCCTCTTTGCTCAGTCACCACACTTCACCCCAGCCTTGACCTTTCCAGCCAAGAGCAACACGAACACCCGACTCCTGCACATTGCAGCGCTGACAACTTACGCGGTATGTTGATGGACTCCGGGATTTTTCCAAACCTGTCGATCTCCCACCTCTCCCGCACGTCAATGTGGAGGACGTTGGCCTTCTTCAAGTCTTTGAGCTCCTGGTAGGAGAGGTTGGGCGCGCCGGCGGCGCAGAGGCTGCGGCAGGCGGGYCCTGGCGGGGAGGCACAGCCGGTCAGCCCGGGACCCGCTCGGGGCGGGCCAGCGCCGCCAAACGCGGCCGCACAGGGCTGTCCCCGAGCACCGCCAAGCTGTCCCCCGCCCGCCCCGGAGAGGCCCGGCCACCGCTCCGCCCCCGCTCCCCGCTCCCCGCTCACCGGGCGCTGCCGCCCCGCTCCAGCCGCCGCCCGCCGCCCGCAGGGCCCGCGCTGCCCGCCACCAGCCCCCGAGCCCCATCCCGGCCCGCCCGGCGATGGCTGCCACACCAGGCCCGGCCCGGCCCCGCCGGCGGGGAGGAGACACCGCCTTCTCTCAGGGGCGGGGGCTCGCAGCCTTCATCGCCGCCGGGGCGGCCACGCGTGGCACCGGCACCGGAGACAGCCGGGGCACAGACACACACACACCGCCTCCCGTTTCGGTACATCCACAACTGCCTTGMCTGGGCAGGGTACGTTCTACCAGCCAGCCCAAACTGCTGGGACGCCTGAAAGTACCAAAGGATGGGAAATTGAACAGGGATGAGGAATTTTAATGCCAAATGTAATTTTAAAAAAACCAGCCTCTCAGTGTTACGCCGAGAAAAGGTGATTTTAGCACTGGCCTGCACCACTTTCACGACTGCCACTATCCCTTTACAGCCACAGATGTGGTCCAGGAACTCATCTCCTTTCTGAGAGGATACAAGGAAGTGGCATGAAGCTGCATCACAGGAGGTCTAGGGCAGATATCAGAAAAACCTTCACCCAGAGGGTGGTCAGGCACTGGAACAGCCTCCTCAAGGAAGTGGTCATGGCACCAGACCCACCAGACTTGAAGAAGTATTTGAAGTGTTTGATAATACTCTGAGCCACATGATGTGATTCTTGTGGCTGTCCTGTGCAGGGCCAGGAATTGGACTCAAACTTTGTATGTCCCTTCCAAGTCAGTATATTCTGTGATTCTATGATCCCTGGTTTCAGTTCTGAATGTTTCAGTTTTGAACCAAGACCYTAATTTTATTTTGAAAGCTGTCAGTCTTCCAGTCACAAGGACTAATGGCCAAGACATACATGAGCAGAGAAATGAGGGTCCTTCTGATCCCCACATTTTAAATCAGTAGTCTGTATTTACTGCATACCTATGTATATATGTTACATACCAGCAATTCTAGTCTTTAAAAGCAGRCATGCTGGATCTTTTGATGAAAGATACATTTTGAGGAGTATGTTGTTGAATCTTTACTAATGAGAGTTTTCATTCTCAAAACGACAATAAAATCTTTCTTGATACTGTAAAGTGTGACAAATTGAACTTGGCACATATAACTGGTTCACTAGCTGCCCTTCTGCCAGCCTCTCCATATGGCCTCCTTGAGAGGCATTTGCAAATTGTCTGTCTGAAGMAGTGTATCTATATATGAATTGAGGTTTTACACATTTTCCATTTCCCACAAGGTATGGATAGAATRCACTACTTCTGGAAATTATCTTTTGAAGTATAATTTATTGTATACTTTGTAGTAAAATAATGACTACAGGTAATCTCCACTTACTGCATATTACCATAAGGACAATTAAGCGTTCAATATGAGGCACCAGGACACTYGTCATATGAAATGCACATTCACAGGAAGATGCATTTTTATGGTTTTAATTTGACCCTGGATCATACTATGTACAAAAGAGAAAACACASTAGCTTATTTGCTGAAATTGGAAGCATGCACTATACATCTTGTGAAAGACTGAGAGTTTGARGTCAAAACAGATCAAGCTTGCCAAACTCCTGCTGCTTGGTAAATGGGTGGGAAGCAGCACATTCAATTCTACTTTTGCCTTCATGGCAACCCCTCCTCAGCTTTCTTCATTTTACCTCTTGGGACTGTCCATTTCACCTTCACTCTACTTTCCAGCTCTACACAGCTTCCCACACTCAAACCCAGTGGCACACAACCCACTTCCCACCAGCTCCTCTCTCGAGTGCTGGACAGCCTTTGCCCTGCCTGTCCCTCGGCGGGGATATAAACACCTGTGTGGCTGTTCTTCCAGTCCCTCCCTCGGTGGCTGCCTCGAAAAAMCCCAGGCAGGGTTCAGATCCTGCTGCAAAACCTCTGGGCACGACTGTCCACAGCCCAGCGCACTGGCAAATCTCCTTTTAGCGCGCTGCCCACGGGCACAAATCCAGCGCAGCATCTCCACCGCTTTCAGCAAAATTCAGACGTGAAGGTCACGCCACCCTTTGCACTCCTTTTGCCCCGAGCTTCAGGGTACCCCGCAGCCAGACCTGTCGCTACCTGTTGCCTCTCGGCGGGTCCCGGTGCGCTCYGGGCGGCCCCGCTTCCCCAGCGCCCTTCCCAGGCGGGCGCCGCGCTGTGCGCTGGAACCAGCACCAACCCCGCCACTCGTGCGGCTGCCCCGGGTTCTGCGGGAGCCGCCCGGGCTGCGGCTGGGGCGGGGAGCGGCACGGCGAGGCCGGGGGCGGAGCGGAGCGGAGCTTCCTCCGCCGCTTCCTGCCGCCGCTGCGCCCGCCGCCGCCGCTCCGTGAGTG